GGGTGGAAGTAGGGGATATGAGAGGGAAGTGGGGGAAGGTGGGTGTAAAGTACAGAGGCAGGGGGGGGGGAGGTAGGAGGGGGAGACGGGCTGGAAGGATGGGAGTGGGGTAAGACTTTTTGGGATTTGCTCGGCTAGGGTGTTGTGGGGGGAGGGGGTGGAGAGGTTGGGTGAAGTGGGGGAAGCGAGTGAAATAATGGGAATTAGATGTGGGTGAAGTGGGGAAGGAAGTTAAGGGAGACAAGGGATTGGGGGGGGAGGAGGGGAAAGGTGGGGAAGGGGGGGAAGGGGGGAAGTGGGGGGGAAGTGAGGGAGGTGGGGGAGGTATGGGGAAGCGGGGGAAATTAAGGGAGGTTAGGGAAATTAGGGAAGGTTGGGGATAGGGGAAGTGGGGGTGGGGGATGTGGGGAAGAAGGTACAGGGAGGTAAGCAGCAGTGTTGGTGGTGGGGAGGTTGGGGAAGAAGGAGAAGTGAGGTAGGACTGGGGTTGGGGGTTAAGGAGGAGTAGAAGAAAAAGGACTAGGAGAAAGAAGAACAGGCTGAGGATGAGGAGAAGGGGAAGGGAGAGAAAAAAAAGAAAAGTAAAGGGATAAAGAATACGAGGAGGAGGAGGAAGATGAGGAGGAGAGGGAAGAAGAAGAAGAGGAGAATGAAGGATCAGAAACGATGAAGAAGGATCAAAAGAAGAAAATGAATTAAAAAAAACAGACCTCCTCACTGCCTAGGGACTGGCCGCAGAATATTTAATAATGCTTTAAGGCGTTGAAACCCTCTCAACCATTACCACTCGCCCACCCCTCCCCTCCTCTCCCCCCCTCCCCCTCCTCTCCCCACCCCACCTCCTCCTAGCCCTCGCCTCCCCCTCCTCTCCCCACCCCTCCTCCTCCTCTCCCACCCCCACCTCCTCCTCGCCTCCTCACCCACCTCCTCCTCTCGCCCTCCTCTCCCCCCCCATCTCCTCCTCCCTCCCCCCACCCCAATCCCATCCCTTCCTCCCTCTCCCCTCACCCTCCAGATGAGGATGAGAAGGAGAAGGAAGAGGGGGGGAGGAGCAGAAGAGAAGAAAAAGGATAAAGAGAAGGAGATAAAGGAATGGCGATGGAAGCAGGAGAGGAGAGGAGGAGAAGAGGAGAAGAAGAAGAAAGAGGAGGAGGAGGAGGAGAGAGGAGAAGGAGAAAAAAGGGGAGGTGAAGGCAGAGGAGAAGAAGAAGAGAGGAGGAGGAGGAGGAGGAAAAGAGGAGGAGGAGGAGGAGAAGAAGAAAGAGGAGGAGAGGAAGAGGAAAAAAGAAGAAAAGGAGGAGGAGGCAAGACGAGAAAGAAGAAAGAGGAGGAGGAGGAGGAGAAGAAAGAGGAGGAGGAAGAGGAGAGTATAAGAAAGAGGAGGAAGAGGAGAGGAGAAGGAGAAAAAGGGAGGAGGAAGAGGAGAAGAAGAAGAAAGAGTAGGAGGAAAGAGGAGGAAGTTAGAGGAGGAGGAAGAGGTGGAACAGGTGAAAGAGAAATCAACAGGGGATTTTTTTTTTACCTCAACCGAATCCCATTAATAAAATCAGCATCCACAATCGTGGCTATCCACTTCAATCTACGTAAATATATTGGAAAAAATCCAAATTGACCCATTCATTTATCTGCAGCTACTAACCCCCTTTATGGCACTGGCACTAGCACTTTGGGCGGGAATATGGGCGTAATTCCAGCCCCTGTCGCCGGGATTGTGTCTTCGGATTACTCATGGTCCACATTTCTTCAATGTTATTTCTTCTTCAGATGCCTATGATCTCTCTTTTTTTCGCTGTGTTTCTGTCTTTATCTGTTTGTCTGTTCTCTCTTTCTCACTCTCCCCCCCCACACACACGCACACACACACACACACACTGCAAAAATATCAAAACTTAAAAAAAAGATAGAAAACCATCTTGCTGTAGGCCTACCTCAATCTCTCGCAAAACAAGACGTCTTCCCCTCATACCAATTACCTCACACTCGCCTCCCTCCCTCACTCTCTCACTCCTTTCTTCCCTCTTTTCATACCTCACTCACTCACTCCTTCCATCCCTCACTCACTCACTCCCTCACCTTCTTCCATCCCTCACTCACCTATCCTCCCTCCCTCCCTCCTATCCCTCCTCCCTCCCTCCCTCCCTCCCTCCTCCCTCCATCCCTCCTCCCTCATCACCTCATTCCCTCCCTCCCTCACTCACCTCCTCCGTGTTCTCCGCCTCCTCCTCATAACTCATGGCCACGACGGCGAGCATCAGGTTGATGAGGTAGAAGGAGCCAAAGAAGACGACGATGGCGAAGAAGCCGACTTGGAGAGGACCCTGGGTAGCGATCACCTGTTGGGGGGGGGGGTGAGTTATATTCTTTCGAAGAGAGAGATGGTGAATATTAATGAAGATATCAATTAAGTAATGGTGTTCATGGGGAATGGAAATAGTAACGGTAATAACGTATGTGATGATAATGAAAGTATCAATCATAATAACGATAATAACGATAATAATACCAAGAATGATACCGTTGATAATAATAATTACACTAACGACATGGCTAGTTACAACCCCAAGAAATAAAATAAAATCAGATAAACTGCATTAAAACATGAACAAAATCAGAAACGACTAACCAATAACGAAAAAATAATAATGACCATACCATCACCCAAAAAATAACACCACCAATAGGACTAAACGACGCCCAAAATACCACAAACACCAACAACCACACGACAACCACCGCCACCACGCCGACCCCAAACGCCACGGCAAAACCACCTCTATCGACAAAGCCAAAAGTACCTCGCCTAACAACACGAGGCATAACAACTGCACTCGCGCGATGCAGGTGCAACGGCCATCGTTTCATTATATCTGCAGCAATTAATTAAAGCTGAATGCGATGTTCCTGAAGTATCCGATCAAGGTGCAATGTTTATTCATAGTTAATTATAGAGAGACGGAGGTGGTTTGCGGGGGGGGGGGGGGGTGACGGGAAGACAGAGGTCGTTGCTCGCGTGGCGCGCCTGTTATCGTGCGTTGGTGTTGTTATCTTACTCTTTTGTTTTTTTTTTGGTATCTTTTTGTTGTCATTGTATTCCATTATCTTTTCGTTGCAATTGTATTTTATTATCTTTTTGTTGTAATTGTTTTTTGTTATTTCTAACTGTAATTGTACTTTATTTTGTTGTAATGGTGTAATTGTTCTTGTTATATTTTTTGTTGTAACTGTTATCTTGTTCTTGTTATCTTCTGTTGCAATTGTTATTTTTTGTTGTAATATCTTTGTTGTACAATTTATCTTTTGTTGTAATTGTTGTTATTCTATTGTTCAATTGTTATCTTTTGTTGTAATTGTCGTTTTATTATCTTTTTGTTGTAGTTGGTTGTAATTGTTATCTTTTTGTTAACCAGTTATTATCTTTTGTTGTAGTTGCTACAATTGTGTGCGCTGCCTATTGTTGTTATCCTTCTGTTGTAATTGTTATCTTTTTGTTGTAATTGTTGTTATCCTATTGTAAACGGTGTTTGAACCAACCAACCAACGCAGCGCATTAACTTGAATCGAACAACATAATGTACTTAATTTCAGTTCCCAGCACCCACCATATTCCTAATACAATATCGCCTGTGATAATATCCTAAAAGTCTAACATATATCCTAGCATCAGAATCCTAAAGCATTTAATCTTATTATTAAATTTCATTTTTTTATGTATATTCGTCCCTATCATTCTGTCATGAGTAACAAAAATCCATTAACAAAAATCCGACTTTTACATCACTCCTCACGTTCCTCTATGGATAATAAATCCCTATCATTATATCCACATATCCTGAAAAAATCATCCTGGTAACTTTATCCAAAGTTGCTTTACTCTATACACGTCTTTTTACCTAAATATTTTTTTTTACCATATTGTTGAAGTGAACAATTATCCGGTAATTCAAATCCTGTAAAATCATATTTTTTGTATGTCCGCTCCTATAATGAGATGTAGAGTAAATAAAATAATATCTAGATATTGTAATTATAAATCTATTTGTCTTTTTTTCTTCACATTTCAAATGCAGATCCTTATATGTCCTTATACCTAGCCTATTTAATATCAATGTCTATTATCGTCAACATTATATTTCATTTATCATTACCATCATCATTATTACTATTACGATCATTATCATCCTCACTATTACTATCATCATCATCATCATTACTATTATTATCACAACCATCATTATCATTAACATGATATGATTATCATAATACATCCTCATCATTACTATCAATATCATCATTAGAATTCTCATCCTTATTACCACCATCAATCCTTCTCACCAATCCTACAACCACATACCTATAATTACCATCACCATCACCATCACGCTAATACATCACCGCGACGAAAAGCCTCATCACCTTACCTTATTATACACGTCCTCCCAAAAATCCAGCGTGATGAGCTGAAAAGTGGTCAGCATCGACCAGAGGAAGTTGTCGAAGCTGGTGTAGCCGAAGTTGGGATTGTCCCCCACGTCGGGCAGGCAGCTCCAGCCCTTTGGACAGACCCTGCGGGGGGAGAGAGAGAGGTGGTGAGAATGGGAGATAAATAAAGGGCGTGGGGAAGAGGGAGAGGGAGAGGGAGAGGGAGAGGGAGAGGGAGAGGGAGAGGGAGAGGGGAGAGGGAGAGGGAGAGAGAGAGAGAGAGAGGAGAGAGAGAGAGAGAGAGGAGAGAGAGAGGGAGAGGGAGAGGGAGAGGGAGAGAGGAGAGGGAGAGAGAGAGAGAGAGAGAGAGAGAGAGAGAGAGAGAGAGAGAGAGAGAGAGAGAGAGAGAGAGAGAGAGAGAGAGAGAGAGAGAGAGAGAGAGAGAGAGAGAGAGAGGAGAGAGAGGAGAGAGAGAGAGAGAAGAGAGAGAGAGAGAAAATAAATAGACAAAGGTGAATGCGTGGCGTAAAAAAATGGATAGCGGGGAAATACAAGTTAAATTACATAGGCTAGAATAATCTAGACATTTTGCAAATTCCAAATTTGAATACAAAATGCACTAAATACAGAGTAATAATTCATAAACAGCCCAATTACCACTTCCCCAACACAAACACCCTTTCCCTCCCCCCCCCCACAAAAAAAGGAAAACAAAAACCTTTCTTTCTTTCCCATTCTTCAGTCTTCAGAGGAGAGGACAGAAAAGAGAGAGAGAGAGAGAGAGAGAGAGAGAGGAGAGAGAGAGAGAGAGAGAGAGAGAGAGAGAGAGAGAGAGAGAGAGAGAGAGAGAGAGAGAGAGAGAGAGAGAGGAAAAAAATGATATGAGAGGCTAGGCTAGTGGTTCGCAACTGGTGGCTCATAATGACTTTTTTTGTATCATGGTCCAGAGGCGGCTCACTGTATTTGGCAATAGACTGGGTATCAGCGCAGATTTTCTTATATAGGGTGGAGGGTAAATGCTTATATCTATTGAAGATATAGGGTAGAGGATGGATTCCTCATATTTTACATTTATGAAAAGTTAGGGTGGAGGGTGAATAGTACTATCCTAAACCATTGAAAATTTAGGGTGGAGGACAAAAAAAAGTAGAGAGAAAAGGAGGAACATAAAGAGGAGATAAAAGAAGAGAAAAAGAGAGAGAAAAGAAATATCAGAAAAAAAGATAAAAGAAAAAGAGCAGAACCCCCAACAGACCGGAAGGGGCAAGAGAGAGACCGCAAGACCGGGACCCGAGGCAGGACAAAGACCCCCCTCCCCTCCTCCTCCCTCCTCACCCCCCACCCCAGCCAGGATTTTTCGCGAAACCTCAAATCTCGAAGGTTCTCTCTCTCACCCGCTCGCCCGATCTGACGTAATCAGGCAAGGGGCAGCAGCGTTTAGCTACCGCAAACTTCCATGAACTTTTTAGCGCCGACGATATCATTTGAATTTCATGTTTTTTTCATGTTTTTTTTTTTTTTTTTTTTTTTTTTTTTTTTTTTTTTTTTTTTTTTTTTTTTTTTTACTTCTGAATGAGCGTTTCCCCCGAGTGGCGAGAGTATTTTGTGAAGAATAATGAGCAAGTGGATTTTCAGACCTTTGGGTGACTGACTGGTTGCCTGCAGGTTAATATGGGTACATAATTATGTATAAACTGATATGTGTGGGTTTACAAAGGGACTGGAAATAACCTATGCGTGTATACATAAATACAGGCGCAGTGCACGCAAGTGTGTGTGTGTGTGTGTATGTGTGTGTGCGTGCGTGCGTGTGTGTTTGTGTGTGTGTGTGTGTGTTGTGTGTGTGTGTGTGTGTGTGTGTGTGTGTGTGGTGTGTGTGTGTGTGTGTGTGTGTGTGTGTGTGTGTGTGTGTGTGTGTGTGTGTGTGGTGTGTGTGTATGCGTATGTGCAGGAGGTGCAGGATAAGTGAAGAGAGAAAGGATAAATAATACATACATAATACACACCACACACACACACACACACACCACACACACACACACACACACACACACACACACACACACACATATATATATATATATATATATATATATATATATATATATGTATATATATATATATATATATATATATATATATATATAGATAGATAGATAGATAGATAGATAGATAGATAGAGAGAGAAGACAGAGGAGAGACAGAGAGACAGAGGGATAAACAGAAAATAAATACAAAGAGAATGAAAAAAGACGCACACACACCAACCACGCCCCTCCCCCTCCCCGTCGGCGCCCAGAGACCCGCCCACAAAGCCGCCCAAAACAGCAATCATTCAGGAGCGAGAAGCCTTTGTGTTCCGCCTCGCCCACAGGTATTCAACGACCTCGCGTGCGCATTATCTCCCGAAAAAAGATAAGGAATAAGAAAGTAGGGCAACATGAGAAAGGGATATGATGAGAGAAGATAAGGAATAAGAAAGGGATATGATGAGAGACGATAAGGAATAAGAAATTAGGATAACATAAGAAAAGGATATGATGAGAGAAGATAAGGAATAAGAAAGGGATATGATGAGAGACGATAAGGAATAAGAAATTAGGATAACATAAGAAAAGGATATGATGAGAGAAGATAAGGAATAAGAAATAAGGATAAGAAAGAGAAGATAAGGAATAAGGATAAGATAAGAAAAGACAAGGAATAAGAAATAACGATAAGAAAAGATAAGGAATAAAAAATAGGGATATGAAATTAGGAT